CCATTTGCAGTACCTACTACCTACTATATATATTATGTGTTGTAATATAAGTTGTATGAATTTTTAGGAAGCGGATCCTCTTTGGATCCCTTTCCACCTATTCCACCAAGTTTGGGATCCAGACCGTTGAAATTTGATCCAACGACTATAATTATTATAACTTTTAAAAATGACCATCTGTTTGTAGCCGTTATATCAAATTTTTGGATTCGATGGAAGGGGATCTGGAGAGAATCTCTTTCTGAATTTTTGCTTAGAATCAGTGAATTTAATAAGAAGGATTTGGTGATGAAGAATTAGTTTTATAATGAAATTCTTGACTAGAAAAGGTTAGAAAATCTAGAGCTTTAAAAGGTGAGAATGGTTAAGTTGTTGGAAAAGGTTAGTAACCAACGAGGTGATGGTTGACAACCAGCCAAATGAATTGGTGCATATGCACATCAAAAATCACATCAAATAATAACAATTAGGGTTTCTTAGTTGGGAAAATCCAATAATTGTACGTGAGAATTACAGTGACTGAATAATAGTATAATTTCTTAATTATTCAATGCCTCTATAATTATTTTATTGTGTATGAAATTTATACTAAATTTAAAAAAGAGCGATGAGAGTTTCACACAAAACGCAGTAAGTTGAAATAAAGGATAATACTTAGATACTCATTTTGAGTACGTAATTTTTATTGACCACTGATGTGGCCCAATGTAAAACTATAAATTAAATATTCTCTCGAACTCTCGCTATTGTTGTAATCAAACACTCAATTTCTTCCATCATAAAATTAATTGGCATTAATAATTAATAATATGGGAAGTAATAACTTCTTACTTGTGACCATTGGCTTCACACATTTGCCAACCTGCTCTGATAACATGAAGAAAGTTAAGGTTTTATCATAAAACTAATTGACAATATGAGAAATACCCAAACTTCTTATAAGTTCTTGCATGGTTTGGTCCCTTAATAATTGAGACTTTGTCCTCACATTCTCACATTAGAAAAACACTTTTTTTTTTTGTTAAAATATTTGTTGCCAACTTTTGTTACAATCTAACCACCACAGGATGACTCAATGGTTAGAGACAAATTCTCGGTTGTATTTCACAAGACATGTCATGCGTTCGATTCTTGATATTGGTGAATCACACGATTGTGGCATGTGGAGGCTGAAATGCCTATGTGACTCTTTCTGATTCTGAAAAGATTAACTACCGTGATGAAACTACCAATTGCTTCATTTAAAAAAAAAAAAAAAAAAAACTTTCGTGACAATCTTTGTAAAAACGAGAGAAAGATAAATTATTACACAGGATGGGTACAAATAAATAATTTCTCAAGTCACCACATAGCACATACGGCTAAAGAAATATTAAAAGAAAATTAGCCACCATATGTTTATACGAAATGACTGCCTGCCCCAAGGCAAAGGTCAGCAGAGAGCTTCATAGATGTCCCACAATTTGGCCCATGCGACGGAAATTGAACAACGACAACTGTCATTTTATGGAATTATTCTAGAGATGATGTTAACTAGTCGATGAGCTTTTTAACGTAAACGATTCTGTCATATAATATTATTCATTTATTATTTTACAAAATGTATGAATTTATTGTTCGTGTTTTATCAATCTTATCATCCACGACTATATGGTAACAAATAAAGAAATAATATATTGTCGGTATAGTCATCTGTAACGATCACGCTTTAAAATCTATCTAAAAAAATCCTTGAGCAGCAAGTTCTCTCTTGATTGTCTTTAATAGGAATGCATGATGAACTTTTAGGGTATAGACTAAATTGAAAATCATCAACGAACTAATAACTTTCGATTTAGTCCTTGAAGAAGTTTTAGAATAGGTTTTTTTAGCCAAACTAGTTTATGAGATTAATATAACTCCCCATTTGGGTCTTTGAGATTTAAAATCAATATAAGTGATCCTAATATTATCCACCGTCAATCATTTTGGTTATTCCGTAAAAAATCTCCATTAAATTGAGAGTATTTTTGTCAAATCAACTCATCCACTTGAACTAGTGGTTTCTTCAATTCAATGAAAAAATTTCACAGAATGATCAAAATGATTGATAGTGGACAATCTCAGAAACCACTTCTATTAGTTTTATATCTCAATGACTAAAATAAAGAGTTTTGACAATCTTGGATCATTTTAACTAAAAAGCCTTTAGAATCTGATCAACTTGGGACCAAATAATACATTATAGATTGATGCATTATCCAACATTATGATTCTTAATTAAATTTTCTACAATCTTCATTGATTTAGGTTACTGTCACAATGTTATTTTGAGTGCCGACAATCCTCTATAAGAAGACAAATTAAGTTGGGGAAGGGGGGGAAATTACGAGGGGCTATAAACTTTAGACCGAAGGTGGACCAGACTAAAGACCAACTCTACAATTTGAAATCGGAATCCTTTTTGCTTTTCATATTTTTAGCTAAATTGACTACCGATGGTTTATATATAGGGACTAGGATGCTAATTCGGTTGGACATCGGGACCCATGACTCTAAGAGTAAGTTATTGACTTGCCGATATCGACAATTCCAAGTCCTCAGATTCAAAACGTTTAATATTTAACATAAATAATTAATGAGGCTTTTAGATCCAGGTCCAAAAACATAAAGTGTTTTTAGGAGCGACCCAAGTTATCTAATTATATGTTTTTATTTCTTTTATACTCCTTTTATATTTTCTAAAAATATTAAAAATCAATTAAAATCTTAATTATGCATTTTTCAACTCCAAAATATCTAATTAATATCTTATAAACAAAAAAAAAAATTAATATACTAACATAAATCTATCTGCAAAACATTCTACCCTAACTCAAGTAGCAAATATATGAAGGTATATTATACCTATAAGTGAGATATGAAACCTAACTAAAAGGTAGAAAAAATATAATATACCTACAAGCAAGACACATTAATATGTGATAGGTTGACTATGAAAAAGAATCTGTCATATAGGTAGATAAATACAATTAACCTGTGATATAGGTTGATTATAAAAGTTTAAAAAAAATCTATTAATGGGTTAAAGCAAGAGGAGGAACAAGAAAAAACAAATAAATAAATAAAAAGAAATAATCAAAGAGACAATTAGGAAGAAATTTGATTTTTACAATAAGTTTTTTCTTTTAAGAGATAATTATTGATAATAAAATAATTAAATTTAAAGTTTGGACTTATTTTTAATAAATTTGACTATTCCTACTATTGGCTCAAAAAATTGGAGTTATATCAAGTTTCCCCATAATTAATCGACGCTCAAGAATTAGTCAATTGTAAGTTAATACAACAATAACCATTCGTTTGGATATTTCATGTTTTAGGTACTCAATGAAGTATCATACATGCATTCAAATTGAGAAGAGTATTGACCATAATTGAATAAATCAACTTACAATTTATGACGTGCATAAAATTTTTGCAAACAAATGATCGTAGCAAGTGTCATTTCTCTCATGGGTTCGTGCTTGCTTGTCTCGCTCCTAATGTTGGCCGACTCACAACATTTTTATAAGTAAAATATGGAATTGGAAGAACTTATTTTCAAAGGCTCGGTCGTCCTTGCACTAAGATCTTAAATAAATCTTCCGGTTATTAACAAATGACTGAACAATTCTGATTTAAGTGAACTTCTGTAAGAATGACTCGAAAGTAAAAACATAGAATCGATTCATTTTTACGAGGTTACTTCATGTAATAGTTAGTTAGGACAATATTAACTCACTAACTGTTTAATGCTTAAATGCTACTATACATACATTTTCAAAGGGGAAAAAAATTTTATTTAAACTCATGTAACCTATTTCTACATCAAACTTACTCTTTGCACCCATTTGATTTTTAACTAAACTATTAATATCTCTTTAAACCCTAATTTACTATCTAATATACCTCCATAAACCCAATTCAATATGTTAATTTATTTTTACACCCATTTGATTTTTAACTCTATTTTTTGCTTGTATATGCTACTACCTACAAGTCTGTTTGGTTTTTGGGGGTGCAGGTTTTGTATTAGGACTTTTAGGCAATACTATTTGCACCAATAGTTACATTGATGCCATGATTTTGGGGTGTAGTCAGACTACACCGACAGAGAAGAAAAAATAATATAAAAACAGAAGAAGCAAACAAAATCCAAGATGTTTGCAATATCTGCAAGTCTTTTTGTTTTTTGATGTGCAATTTTGTATTAGGACTTTTAGGCAATACTATACATTGATGCCATGATTTTGGGGTGTAGTTAGACTACACCGACGAGAAGAAAAAAATATATAAAAACAAAAGAAGCAAACGGAATCCAAGGTCCTTGCAATATCTGCAAGTCTTTTTGGTTTTTTGTGGTGCAGATGAATAGTGGGAGACCAACTGCAACAACAAATTGTTGCATAAAAATAAACAAACTATGCGGGATTGATTGAAAAAAAAAAATTAAAACCAAAATACTCATCTTCTAAACTCTAAAAAATTGAAATCAAACGAAAAAAATATTCATAAATTGAGTCATACCTTGGTTGAAGGATTCAAAACTTCAAAATCATCATCCATCAATAAAAAAAACTTAGTTTTCTCTATGAGAGCTATTATGGTTTTAGCCGGAATGAATGTAGGATAAACAAATAGTGATCATAGGGTTTAATTATAGTGTTTGAGTTTATTGATAAATTTGAGTTTTATTATTAATTTCATTTTGTACTTAATAGTAATTATGTAATAGGGTAAAATAGACAATTAACATTTAAAATTTTAGAGTGCTATTAAACCCACCCATTGTCTTATTTTCACACCCACATTATAAATTCACCCACTATGAAATATTAAAAAATTAATATGTTATTTCTACACCCACCATTATTCCTAAAATAACCTTTAATATATCTAAATTCTTTTTTTTATTTTAAAAAAAATATTAAAAAGAAACAATCGACCTCTCGTACTCGCCATTGAAGAGAGCAAAACGGGAGGGCGATGAGGAGAAAGAAGCAGGGGAGAGACAGAGCACTACCAAACTAAATGATCGGAGAGAGATGTGAGAAATGGGTCGGAGGTTGGATGTCTTTCGGGTGCATGTGTTGTTGGATCTGGTCATCTCCAGGTTGACGGACGCGTAAGTCTTGTCCCCTCCCTCCTTTCTTTGCAATTCACAGTCTTAGTTCATTCATAGAATCCCTAATTCCATGAGTTGAATTGTGTTTTTTTTTTTGTTTGATCAAGTTGTTGGAGATCTCCAACTTCCCTGATTCAATGTTGTTGGAGACGGGGGATAAGGAAACGGGGTGGGGGAGGGGAAAAGTTTGCTGGGCCAATTTAATTTTTATTTTTTTATTATAACTACAAGAACATTATAATGAATTTATAAATAGGGGTCTAAAAGTCTTTTTAATAAGAGTAAATATGTCATTAAATTTTTTATAAAAAGATGGGTGAAGAAATAAAATATTGGGGTGGGTCTAGTAACACTCAAATTTTAAGTTGAGTGTAAAAAAATGTTACATAGGTTTAAATAAAAATTTCCAAATCTTATTATTCGGCCCACTTATTATAGCCCAAAAGTGCGTAAGGCCTGGCCCACTTATCAGTCGCGACTCGCGAGTTTAAAGAGCATCAAATTTGAATGCGCGGGAATCTCACCCAGTGACTCAAACGACCTTCTTCAACCTCCGAACCAAAATCCTCAAGCTCCAAACGCTGACAACAATGTCGACCGCCAAAGCGAGCAACAAGAAGCGCAGGACCGAGCCACGGATCGCGAATTCCGATCACCTCGATCTCGACCTCGACCTCTCCAAGTACAATTTTCCGATTAATCGATTCTTCTTCTTTCAATTTTTTCACATCAATAGTTTCTTCGCAACAAGTGAACTAATTGGGTACATTTTGTTTTCTTTACTTGTCAGGCAAAGTTTCGCTAAATCCCTTTCGAAGAGCTGTGGAAAACGATGGATGATCCGGCACGAAATTTTTGAATATGTAGTTGTTATGCTGGAAGGCATTGTGTAATGCCCTAATTTATTGTTCTGATTAATTTGATTTTATGTATGCAGTGTGAGAAGAACTGCTTGAAGACTGAAGCTGTCAAGTTCCAAGCAGTTTATGAAAAGTTTTGAAAGGATCAGGCAAACCATCTGCAGGCCTTGAAAGGTACGTGGTCCTAAACCCTAATAGGTCAGTTCTTGGCATACAGTATATGTTCCAATCACCATCACTCCTTGCATTGGTTTTGTCTTCGTAGTTGGTAATAAAAATTCAAGTCGATATAATCTGGTTACAGTAACTGAGAGAATGATAGGTACTTCGACTGACTATCGGAAACTGACTTATTTTTCCGCATACTTTTGGGTTCGTGGATAGCTGGATAGGAGGTTTACTTTACATGTAGTTCCGTGGTCTCTCTTCGTTTTACTGTACAACCTTATCTCACTAATTGGGGTCAGCTATATGAATTCTAGAACGCTATTGCATTCGGTTTTGCGCCAAGTCTTCCGTTAGCTTCAAGTACTCCATGTTTTTTCTTAGTCTCTTTCCAAGTCTTCCTAGGTCTTCTCTACTCCTTTTGCCTGAGTTTCGGTCTTATAATCGCATCTTTTAACAGGAGCATTGTAGGTCTTCAATTCACATGTCCAAACCATCTGAACCGATTTTCGCTCATTTTATGTCCAACAACCACTCCTACTCTACCTCGGATATTCTCATTCTTAATCTTGTCATATCCCATGTGGCCACACATTCAATGAAGCATTCACATCTCCCTTTTCCTGTAAAAGTGAAATTAAAGATCATACCCGAACCGCAGTATAGGTCTTGCAATCATATAATTATGAATCTACGTGTAGACCCTCGATGCTGTTGGGCATTATTGTTCTGTTTTGGTAAAGGAAATGCTTCTGTTGAGCTATATCCAAAACATAGGGAGAGAGAACAATGCAAATGAGTGCTGCTGGTCTTTGTTGATTGCCAAACTGGAAGTCATTGAAAAAGAAGCAGCAGGTACCTCTCTCTCTCTGCAAACACGTCTCAAAACAAGATTTGTTCTTCTGTTTGCAATCACAGGACGACAGAACTTTCAGCGTTCCGACGAGGACATCCCGGCAGATGATTGAAGATCACTTCAGAGTTCATAAGGGCAGTGCTACAAATATTCAGCCGTTAAATCTCCGTTAACCTGAGGTGTTACGTTTGTTATTACTTTCAATATGATATAGTACATGGCTCTGCGTAGTTTTCTCAGTTTCGCTATGGTAGTGAACCGAAATTGACGTTAATGTCCGTTAGTACCGTTATACAATAATTTCCCATGACGTTCGAGAATGCTTCTCTCTTCGTCATGGGAATTGCTTGCACCCTAAGCATAGTAACGTTTTAGAGATCGGTGATCTTTGTTGGTTGTCACACAACATATCATTTCTCTCAAATAGTTTAGCTAACATAATGTCAAATCAGTCTCGTTAAATTTTCGTCCGAAACAGCTTACTACGGCTCAACAGTTTAACTTTATATACAGTTGCAAATTAAATTTGGAGAAGAGTTGTTCATTGTCGATCGTACCAAGAAGATCCTTTCCTGCGAAGATCAAATCAACCAGTTCTGGTGTAAGCCCTTCGTTCTTCCCCAATCCATGCAACGGCAATACAAAGCAGAGTACTGCCAAGCTTCGGATGCAAGTAACAATTTCTGGACTGCCTCACTCGCATGAGCAGTTTAGTGAACAGGATTAGGAGGAGTTGGTGATTGCCCCTGTTGGACGGACCATGGCGGGCGCTTGTTGTGTTCCTACAAAGAAACATTTCACATCCAATCACACAAATGAAACACAAGCAATTGCATTCTGATCTACTTGCAATAACTATACAAATGACAGACAACTTATCTCAAAAGTGCTTTTCTTCTTATTCTCCCTCATAATGATACCATATTGACTACTACCAACGAAACAACTCCATGAAAGTACAACCACCACTGTATGCTCACTGATTAAAAATATAACTTTCCTCGTCGCATCATACCTATTGTGAAGTCTACAAATCCAAAACTTATACTTAGGGAAACGTGCGAGAAGTATAACGACGTAACTTAGTGATTATCCCGGAATATTGTTCCGAATGCTACCTCTAACAAATGGATTACAATCGCAACATACATAAATGAATGGCTCCGATATGTCTAGAGCACATACGTAACTATTTTACTTTTTCAAGTAAATTGTTTACTTACTCCAACTTCTGTCACAAAATTGCAAGAGGAACACCTAACGGATGCCGCTCCATATGGGTACATCAGCAACACTGCACAACTACCACATTTCACTTGTCCAACCTGATGAGCTGATAAAAAAAGAATCCTTTAGAAACTAGAACGTACATTTGCAGAAGAGAAAATGACACTTTAATACACAGGCATTAGGCACGAAGACTCTGGTAACCGAAACTTATCAATCTACAAGAGAAGCAATAGAATTATATCCATCGGGATTTTTGGCTTAGAACTCAAGTATTGCACACTGCGTTCTAAGTTTAGATCACGCTTTGGAGTATTATTGCGAATTTTTCACATTTGAGGTTAGTTTAGATCACGGTTTAGCTTCATGAATGGCTTATTTGCAGAAATTTCAATGCCACTGCAGCCTCTCTTTCCCTTTTTGCATTGTCACCTTACCTTTTAGCGCAAGATATAGAAAATCATCCTAAACTACAGAAAATAAGAAAAAAGAGGAGAGAAATAAGACATACATAGAAGCTTAACTTATTAGCTACTCCAAGTATCCAAGTGAAGGAAGAGAGAAGAACCTTCTAAAACAAAGTTGACTGTCTGACAGCACGAGCATTCGACATGTCTGGCTCCTCGGGGATACTTAAGCAGGCGGCGGCAAGAGCCACAAACCAGTTGAGCTATTTCTACATCATAATCACACGCCTCACCAGGTGAGAAAACTTTGCACTATTTATTGAAAGGCCCTAAAGGACATTCTTCTCAGGAATCCAAATCCCCCTCCCCTCCAGTCCCCTCGTATTTGAACGGTCACAATTAAGCAACGTCAACATCTGGACGGGAAGGGATTTGGAGGGAAGAGAATCCGATTCCAATGAAATTAGTGCATTGTAACCCAAATTATTCACTTTCCATTCTTACAATAGAAAGTTAAGAGACTATTGAGACAGTTGCCAATATGGGTAACTATTTTTTTGTCGATACAAGCGATATTCTACTATAAACGAATCTAAACTATTGGGAAAGGATTCAAACTCGGTGCATAAGGAAGCACATTCGCTCTAGCCAACGTGGCTACACACATACACATATGCGCCTAATTGGGTAACCTTTAAAATTAAAAGTGAACCCAACCCAGTTGCAGTTCCTAAATGCTAATCACAATCACATATATCAACAAAAAGAAAGTAAATAACAAAATTAAAAAGAATAAAACAAAAACCTTTTTCCTTTTCCAACAAAAAATAAATAAAAAATCCAATTGATACGAATCTAAAACGGAAAGAGGCTCACTGACTCACCGGAAGGCGGTGATGGCTGCGCGGCGGTGGATTGGAGCTCCGGCTGCGGCGCTTCGTCTACATCTACTTTGCTCTCCATCCTCCTCCTCTGTGCTTCTTCGTTGCTGTCGCTTGGACGCTTGGCACAAGCGGCGGATTGCAGAAAACGCCTTGGAGTTGGACTAGTCATGAATCATGATACGATGTCGTTCTAAGTTGGCATTTGGACCCGACCCGTTAACCCGATCCGACTCATTAATATTAGTATTTGAATGGATGATTAACCGGTCAGATTGCTAACGGGTGAACATGTTAACAATCCGTTAAATAACGGGTCACTTTGAGTCAACCCATTAGACCTGTTAGCACCCGTTAGTTGACAATGTTTTAATAATTTCAGTAAAGTCTTAACAACAAAAAATAAACTCTATGCAAAAAAAATAAAATAATAATAATTGTTAACAGATGTTAGTGGGGTGAAACAGTTGACCCGTTAGCTTAACAGATCGAATTCTAATGACCCGTTAACTTAACGGATTGGATTGAACCCGACCCAAACCCGATAAACCTGACCTATTTACGGGTCTACCAACATTAAGTGAAATGCTGACCTGGCGTTAAGATGTAGATTTTATTATAAAATCGTTCAAATTGATTAAGAAAAGAGTATGGTGTTTTCGGGTATTTTTTCCGGCCCTATACTTAATGATCATGTCACAAACCTTAGGAAAACACACATTTACTCGAACAAAATGTTATGTACTTATATATATCATTTAATGTGATGGCTTAACTACAGAAAAATTACAATTAGGAGGTTCCAACTCTCAACTTAAAACGAGACCAGAACAATACAGTTTGAACCGATTCCAAACACAAAGCCATTCGAATCCCATGAAAATACATCTCAACTCATTCTGATTATGTCTTCCAATCCCCCCAAGGCAGGAACCGATGAACCTTCTGAGCCGCCTTCAACCTCCTTAAACTCCGGCGTGTCTATTTTTATGACGGTAAGGCCTCTAATCGTTAACTCCATGCTTGTTTTGACGAAAACAGCGAAAACAAAGGACGTGTCTGCTTTCGCAATCAACTTCGACTATATCAGCCTCCTTTCTTCTTTTGGTTTTTGGCCGGCTTTATGTCCTTTGTGAGCATTCTTGGCGCTATGGCCATTGACATGAGCTCTTGGAATAGCAGCTTGCAGGCATAAGGAATGTAAACCTACACCAACGAAAGACGAGCAGCGGATAGCATTAACCTCTTACCGTAAGAACGGGATCAGAGCAATATTATAACTGTAGGCGTGAATTCATGTATCGTATGAGAGAGAGAGAGATTGATGTACCTGAACAATGTCAGTTTTGTTCTTGCAACCCCTGCACTCAAACGAATTCTTCTTGAGATTTGCAATAGCTATTAACCCACAACGCTCGCAGACATGAACCCTATATGCATCACTCTGGTCGAACAATCTTTCTTTCAGAAAGTGGGCAGCACCATGGGCAATCATGCAATCTCGTTCCATTTCTCCAAATCGTAGACCACCATCACGAGACCGTCCCTCAGCTGGCTGCCTTGTGAGGATCTGCACTGGGCCCCGTCCACGTGAATGGATCTTGTCGTCGACCATGTGCTTCAGTCTTTGGTAATATGTGGGGCCAAGGAATATCATAGCGCTGAGCCGCCTGCCCGTGTGACCATTATACATGGTCTCGAATCCACGCATTTGATAACCACAACTGTGAAGAGCTTTACTGATATTGTCCACCTAACAAAGAAAACAATAAAACGTGAGAATTTCCAGGAAAAACAAAAGAAGCAACTAAAGAAACGTTTCAATTCACGAGAAAGTGCAACTCACCGTCACATCTGTAAAAGGAGTAGCATCTCCTTCCTTTCCCATGTGAGCTGCAACCTTCCCCATGATACACTCAATCAGCTGACCAATTGTCATACGAGACGGAATAGCGTGTGGGTTCACGATTATATCAGGTGACCCCTTCCACAGTCCATGGCATGTCTTCCTGCGTATAAGTCATGCCCACTGTCCCCTTCTGTCCATGTCTGCTACTGAATTTGTCACCAATCTGCGGTATTCTGACTGACCTCACCCTTACTTTGACAAACCGCAACCCATCGGCATTGGTCGTCAGTAGAACCTACAAACACAAAGTAAATGCCAGTCTTGTGATAAGAAGCCAGTAGAGCTGCAAGCAGAGGGGAGAAGGAACTGAAATGAAAACTAACCTGATCAACTATGCCGGTTTCACTGTGGCGCAAGCTTATGCTGTGGTCACGCCGCGTGTAACGCGATGTCGCTTGCCCTGGAGCCTCGTCCTGAGCCATGGGTGTGGTCTTTCCTATGATGACATCCTCACCTGAAACCCTAGTTCCCTAAGGTAATATCAAAGAGAAGTTAATTAGTTC